TATCTGGTTTCTGTTAGCGATAAGTCTGATTTTGAACCACCTATCTGTCCAATGTTAATTAATGAGCCTGAGGGTGAGTTATCTTCCTGTCGAGTTTCTGTCACTGAACTGTCAGCTTCAGCTTCTGTCAATGCCCTTGATTTTGAGCTATCTGCTAGGCCTATTCCAGCCAATTCAGTTGATTTTGAACTGTCTGTCCAGTTACATTCAGTGGACCCGGTTATGAACTATCTGTCTTGCCAGTTTCAGTCCATGAGTCTAATTACCTACTGTATCCCTAATGTATCTGATTTTGAACTGTCTGTCTGCCTAGTTATCTTCAAGGAGACCAAAACTGAACTTTCAGCTCTATCAGTCACTGCCTATGAGTTTGTTAATGAACCCTTTGTGTTGCCTGCCTCGGTCATTGGGGCTGTGAATGCTCTGTCTGTTCCCTATGTTTCAGCTCTTCTGGCATCTTCTACTTGGTCGTGGTGGTCTTCTGCTCCGTCTGCTCCTCCGTGGTGGTCTTCTGCTCCGTCTGCTCTGGTATGGTGGTCTTCTGGTCCGTCTGCTCCGCTATGGTAGTCTTCTGTCCTGCTCTGGTGGTTTTCTGCTCCTCCGTGGTGGTTTTCTGTTCCATCTGCTCCGCTGTGGTGGTCTTCTGTCCTGCTCTGGTGGTCTTCTGCTCTAGGGTGAGTTATCTTCCTGTCGAGTTTCTGTCACTGAACTGTCAGCTTCAGCTTCTGTCAATGCCCTTGATTTTGAGCTATCTGCCTGTCCTGTTCCAGCCAATTCAGTTGATTTTGAACTGTCCGTCTGTCCAGTTACACTCAATGGACCCGATTATGAACTATCTGGTTCTTCCTGCTTCGCCGGCTCCACCCTGGTTCTCTGCTCCGGCCTGGCTTCCTGCTTTGCCGGTTCTACCTTGGTGCCCTGCTCTGCCGGCTCTGCCTCAGTTCTCGGTCTCTCCACTTCCACGTGAACCTGGCCCTCCGTCCCTCCCCCTGTTCCGCCTCTGCTCCACCGCCCTCCTGGATTATACTGGGGCGGGGGGCTCTGTCACGAATCGGGTCTGTGGACTTCCGTCCGATTGCCACCAGAGGTCGCCCTTCCATTATATTGATTGTCACACTACACAGACTGTTTCACGTTACCTTGGACTACATTTCCCATCTTCCATTACACTAATCACATGCCCACCTGAAACCAATCACACACACTATATAACACCCACTCAGATCCTGTTCAGATCACCGAGTATTGTTAGCGCTTATCACTACGTCAGTGATAGCTACATTATGGAGCCATTCCTGGTATTCTAGTCCTGTCAAGTCTCGCGTGTTTCCGGATATCTTGCCCTGTTTGGACTCTGTTTAACCCTCGCTTGAACTGTTGCCTGTGTTTTCAGATTGCCCCTTTGGATTACCCTGTTTGGACATTGTTCGCCAGAGATCGCCTGTTTAGTCTAGTCGTGTTTTCGGATATCTTGCCTGTCTTTGGATTATTCTCTTGTCTTGCCCTGTTTGGACTCTGTTTAACCCTCACCTGAACTATTGCCTGTGTTTGGACATTAACTATTTTTACCCTGTTTGGACATTAACTATTGTTACCCTGTTTGGACATTGTTTGCCAGAGATCGACCACGCCTGTTTACTGGACTACTCTTTTGTCTTGCCCATGATATGCCTGTTTGCCAGTGACTGACCCTTGCCTGTTTTGTAACCTGTTTCACGTTGGGAAATAAAGCTCTGCAGATGGATCCGAATGTCTCTCGTCTCTTTCGCCCCGTAACAGTAAACACTGTGTCGGTACTTCTGCCTACATCACGTATGCGTGATGACATAATGCGTGAGGTCTAGCTAGTGCAAGATGAGCATTTGTGGTTAAAAGGTATATAAATTTGTATTTTTCTTAGAAAAGTACCTATTTTTTCGCTAGATAGACCCATATTCCTCAGCTGGGATCACATAGAGCGTTTTGAAGCTGCATTGAAAACAGCAATTTGAACCTTCAACCCGTTGGCCACCATTGAATTCCACTATATGGAGGAAAATCCTGGAATTAGAGCTGTCACACGATTAATCGCAATTAATCGCATCCAAAATAAAGTTTTGTTTACATAATATATGTATGTGTACTGTGTATATTTATTATGTATATATAAATACACACACATGCATGTATATATTTCAGAAAAATGTTATTTTTATATATTAAATATATTTATTTACATGAATATAAATATAGACATGCAAATACATGTAAATATTTTCAAAATATATGGTGTATGTGTGTGTATTTATATGTACATAATAAATATAAACAGAACAAACACATATTATGCAAGCAAAAACTTTTATTTTGGATGCGATTAATCACGATTAATCGTTTGACAGCACTACCTAGAATGTTTTCCTCAAAAACCTTAATTTCTTTTCGACTAAAGAAAGAAATTCATGAACATTTGATTCAGGAAATGTTTCAGGAAATTTTCATTCTGGAAGTGAACTACTGCTTTAAAGGGCCACAAAACAACATTTATTGTTTGAATTTCTTAAAAAATGACAAAATCTGAAAGCAGAGACTGTGTTTCATACCAAAAGTAACCTGCTCAGTCTTGTCTGTTGGTGCGTTTTATTTTCCACTGCGTGTGTTGTAAAGGTGACAAAAGTCATTTATTTTATTTTGTGAAAGACTTTCACGCTTTTTACCCAATTTGACTGGTCAAGAGGTGATCGCATTACTGAAAATGACACACAGACATTTGGTTCACTTGATATTCACCTTGATTTTTCTTTGTTTTGCTCACATACTTGTCTCATATTTCATGTCAAGCATACTTGACGCTGTTGTCTCCTTGGTAACCAAATATACAGGATTTTGATAAATAGAATTACAGACAAAATGGTTGGTTGTGGAGGAACTGATACAATCAGCGAGGGACAGTCACAGTTTGTGTAAAATTGTATGTAAATATACATATGTATATATTAAAATCGTTTATGATTATTTCACTTTGTTTGTTTAGATTATAATAGTTTTATAAAATAGATTTTTTTACCATGTGCTTTGCCAGTAGACTTACAGAGAATGATGAAAGTGAAAGTTTCAATTTCATTGCATCTCTGTATTTATTTGTAATTAATTAGTTGGGGACTGCTGAGTACTTCTTTCTTACTGTTCTTATATAATGTCTGTCCATTGTCAAGAGCTGCCAAGTCGAGTTCTTAAGAAGAGCAATCTTTCCTAGCCAAACAAAATATCCTCTGTTCTTTACTGACAGCACACTTCAGTTTAAGAAGGAGCTTTTTAATGGCATGTCCTCCTGTATCAGTATTTCTGATTCATTTATCTTTTTTTCAATGAAAAATAGGCGGTAGGACTGGTTGATAGGTTGGGACAGGATGTAACAATAGTATAAGGACAAACATGACTAAAAAATAAAACACACATTAGTTATTTCATGAAAAAAATGCTATAAAATAGACAGCTGCTCTATGTATTTGTTTAGAAAATCCAAATAAAGAAGCAATGCTGAGAATAAGAACAGGGTTAAGCTTATGAATGATCTGTAGACTGTATATTTTTTTGTATTGTTCACAAAAGAAGTGAGACTCTTTTCAAATAATCTATTGAATGTTGGCAACAGCATGCAATATCATTTGTCATTGCCAAAGGCAACTTATAACACTGAAACATTTTCCACATATGTACTCCAAATGATAACTAAAAATCATTTTTATTCATATTTTATGTAACCGTGTATTGTATTAATATGCAATGTAGAAATGCTCACCTCTAAAACCCCCATCCGAACCCACTCTCACCCTACCACACACTAACCTCTTGCTGCTATTGTTCTCCAAGGCCGGTTTAAAAACTGTTTGCAACTCTTATGTGCAGTATACTACGTTTGTGAGTAGGCCACACACAGTAGGTAGATGAGTAGGCCTCACAAACCTCCACCTGTGGTAATGCTCTCTTCTCTCTCTATGTGCACTGGACACTTTAACATCCTCACCCGGCTCACTGCAGTAATACATGTGTACAAATACTACACACTCATCTTTCACTGCCTCCAATTTGCGATGTTTGCTCTGAATGTCTCTTTTTGTACCACTGCACTACATGTTGTATATGTGAAATTAAAAATATATGTCAAAGGTGTATGTAATGTATTTATGTAAAATATATTAGTATGTATAGTTAGTATATGTATAGTTAAATTGCACAGTATAAAAATATATATACTGTGTGTGTGTGTGTGTGTGTGTGTGTGATAACTATTTTCTATTTGAATATTTTTAAAAATGTAATTATTTATTTCTGTGATGCAGAATAAGTTTTCAACATCATTGATCCAGTCTTCAGTGTTACATGATCCTTTAGAAACCATTCTAATATGCTCATTAATAATGGTTCTTATTTTTATCAATATTAAAAACAGTTTTTGCTGCTTAATACTTTTTTTCAGGATTTTTTGATTAATTGAAAGTTTGGAATAAAATCTTCTGTAACATTATAAATGTTTTTAATTTCAATTTTGATCAATTTAATGCATTTGCTGAATAAAAGCATTTTTTGAAACACATCTGAATGGTAGTACATCATACTTTCTACATAAACATGAAGCAGCATTGCTTTTTTAACATTGATAATAATATGAAATGTTTCTCGAGTATCAATCAGCATATTAGATGATTTCTGAAGGAATCATGTGACACTGAAGACTGGAGTAATATATATATATATATATTTTTTTGAATCATTTTGAATCATACAACACATCCCGCTGATAATTCCAGACACAGAGCTTGCATGCAGTGATTTTATTACTGATGTTATCTGAAGTGTTTGGTTTTATCCCAGATAAAGGCGAGAGCGAGAGAAGGAGAGTGCCTTTGTGCGTCCATCACACACTGACAGCAGCAGCAGCTCCTTTACGCGCTCGGCGCAGCCTGCTTTAAAGTCTCTGCCAGACTTCAGCTCATGCGCTACTTCCTGGATGGCGGAATGGAAAGCTTCCAGAGCCGCTCCAACTCTTGTCTCTGTGTTTTCAGTCTGATGCATGGACTACTGCTCCTCTAACATCTCTCTCTTAATCCACTGTCCCCTTGACACGTTTCTCTTCTGGACTACAAGCTCAGCCATCTGAAAGAGAGAGAAAGAGAGAAAAAAAAAACTGTTTCCTTTGGCTCGGTCGAACTTCAAAAGAAAAAAAATCTCTCCAAAGGACTTCTTAAAGGAAGCGGCCGAAATACATTAAAGCGCGTCTGCATTGCTTGTTTGTGGGAGTTTTTTTGTTCAGCAGGAGGATAACTCTGTCAACAGTTGCCTTATTCCAGATCTCCATGTATACAGTGTGACATGCGGAGGCTACTGCGACCGCGCTGCTGCTGCTGGTGGATTCCGCCTCTGCTTTTCTCCTCGCTCGTGCTCCGCTGGGCACACTGTCATCCCGGTAAGTTGGATTTGAGGTGGATAAAATTATGTTTCAAATCGCTCCATCAAGCATTACGACCAATTACACTGGCTGCGTAATGTGGAAACAATCCATGTTCACAGTTAAAACCACGCGAGGCTTTTTATATTGGAGATATTTTTTTCCAGTTGTAAAACGTGGAATAGGGACGATCTAACACAGAACTGTATTGTTCATGTCTGTTAATATTCCAATCTCTACAGATGATCCTCTGCTGTTATTTATACGCGCACAGACCCGTTATTTCTAAACGATACACTGAAATCCGTTATAGGAAAGGCATTAGATGATGTCTTTCAGCAGGAGTTGCTGATTTGAGCAGTTTGAATAATTATTATGCACAATAGAGTTAAGTCATCGTTAGTTTAAGTATAACTTAGCAGCATTTCATACCTTACTTTTTAACGTGATTTAGGCACTTTCTCGTGGGAAAGTCACTTTAGGATTTTTTAAAGATATATGTGCATAATATTACCGATATATCGATTATTGGCTTGGTCAATATTTTTTACAGATTCACATTTGTTATCGGTTCTTTAAAATCGGGTGGCACCATTTGATGAGTCTCTAAAGAACAACATCCAAGAATGCCATTACACTACAGAGTGTTCAAGAAACTACACTGTTTACAAGTAAAATACTTACTTTTGAATTTATTGTTTGCACAGTTCCTCAAAACTTTTTTTTTTACACCCATTCGTTTTTAACTGAGCGACGCATAGTATTTCAATCTTGATAGTTAAACATAGTCCAAAAATGCTTCCATTAAATTTATTGTTATTATTATATACTGTATAATAAAATTATAATAATTATAATAACCACAAGTATTTTGTTATATTAATATTCATAATGTATACTGTTTTTATTGTAGGCTCATGGTTTTTTTATTATTATTGTTGTGTCAAAAGTCATAAATAAAACAATATTTGTGTATATTAGTTAATGGACAAAAATAACCTGTATTATTTTTGGTCGTTCTGCATAGAAGATATGCATATGGCGCTCAGTAGCACTAAGGAGCGACATAGTTTTGGGGTCAGTTAAGAAAAATCACTTTAATTGTCGTTAATTCGGTTATTTATTGATGATTCAAATCTGATGTTCAGTCGGATCAGGGGAGTAGGGATGAAGCCTTGAATATGAATTCCCACAATAACTTGCTGCACACAAACAGTGTTTTTCAGAAAACCATAAGAATCTGATTTTTGGGGGCTCGTCCGGGTTTTCAAATTGCTTCATACGCACATATATTTGACGGCATCTGGTTTAGGATGACCTTGAGCGTGTTTGAGTGATAGGCGAGGATCTCTCAGGCTCTTCAGGTTTGCTGTGATGATAGACAGCAGCCAGAAAAAGAAGAGATTCTTAGATGCACAAGCCATTTCAACCATGAGGAGACTGATAAGCTCTGCATATTTGCATGAGATTTTATGTAACGCTAGAGGCGTCAAATCTAATGTATAATTCCAGAGAGTATGACATTCTCAGGTCTTTGAATCAGACCTTATGGAAACACAACCAGTGCAGGGACTGTTTGTGCTCTTTTAACCAAATTACATCATCTACACAGGCAGTCACATGTGACACAAGTGACAAGAAAGCCATATTCATAAACAAGAAAAGTTTAAGAGCTTTACCGCTCCATACAAATGAAATATAACATGGTTTGCAGATTGCATCTGCGCTATGTATTGCATTTTTTTTAAAGTGCATGCGTGCATGCAAAGCTACCATGTGTTCGGAAATGTCATTATAATAGCAGATCATATTGTGTTTATCTCTCATCTTTCCATCGGATACATCTCAAAACATAAATTTTCGCTATAGCTGACCTACTTCTGGGCAGCTTGATGGTTTTGTCTTTGTAAATGGTGATCGCTTTGCACGTGTAATAAAATTTCAAACTTTGTTCGCAGTTAATCACTGTTGCAGGAATAAACTAATTAATGCCGCATTCTACAGAAGACTTCATGGTTTCTCAGAAAATTCACTTCAAATACTGGACCAGTCAGAATGTCCTCTGGTTTTTCTATTCTTTTCTTTTGCCCCTAGTTTTCATCTCACATTCTGTGTGATCCAAAGCTACAAGAGCAGGGCGCTCAGGGACTCGGTGGACATTGGGGAGAGCACTTGTGCGGTGACAGCGAGATAAAGTGTCTAAGTTTCTGCATCTCAAACAACCGAGAGATTTCATCAGGGCCGTGATGAATGTTCCATGAATAACACATTGTCACCAAAGGGCAAATGCCTGACTCAAGGTTGTGGACATTATTGACAATCTCTTCTGTCTGTTTTTCTGTTTGCTCCTCTCTCTCTCGTGTCTGTCGCAGTATGTGTTTCCGTCCATTGTACTGTCTCCGTTGATTTCTCCAAGAGAAAGGCGCACGCTTCCAATTCTAAAGTCGGAAGTGGGGGAGAAATGAAGCTACCGTAGAACAAAAGCCAACTTTAATGCGTTCCGTTTGCTTCCTGTCATTCCTCCTGCCCTCTCTGCTTTTTTTCCCAGACATGGGTCTTTTTAAGCTCAGTGACATTTGTTCACTTGTCTGTGTCTGATAGACCTGTTCTTAGCAGAACCACTGCTGCGGAAAGACAAGCAAGCTCTGTATCCGCCACCGCTGCAACAGTGACATAAGCACTGGAAAAAGGAGAAACAGCGCAATTTTATTTATTTCTGTCATGCCGGTGGGAAACAAGTGTCTGCACACTTGAGTCTCCAGTAATGGCCAGTTTGCTGACGGTGCAAGAGAGGAAGTGAGAGGGAAGGATGGATCTCTCGGCGGGGCGTCTGTTGGCCTCAGGCAATGCTCATCTCTTTACAGTCCGGTTGATGTTGCCGTTGGAGCGATGGATGACTAGTACGGAAGAGCAAATTCTAGCGCGGTTTCCACCTGGTAATTTAAAGCTATCAAGCTGAACAAGTGATACATGGTGAAACTAGCTAAAAAAAAATCCTCTATGGCGTGTAAATCAAAGCAGGGAATCAATAGAAATTTTTTCTGACCTACCATGCAGAATTCGGAGGATTCACCCAAACGGTGTAGAATCTGCCGGCGATACTGAGGAAAAGACGGTTATTTCTGTCGCATAACGAATAGCATGCCACGCACTGGAGAGCACAATGATAATTCAAATGTCTTAAGAGGCATCAGACTTCCTGCCTTTCCGATTTCCTTTTATGTGTGCGAGGAGCCATTTCTGTGTCTAATAGAAAAGGATAATTTGCTAAATGTCTGTTTGGAAACGACGGGCAATTAAGATGGGGGGGTAGAGTCTCAGGAGTGAGATAGCTGGAGCTGACATTTGGGCTGGACTGGATGCACTAGCGGCCCCTGTAACAACATTATCATCATCATCATCATCATCTCTCCGCTTGGGCCGTTATCTGTCCAGCTGGGTGACCAAAACTGCTGTAATGTTCGCCAGGTCACTTTATCAGTCACGAAGCCTGTCATCATTGCCTGGTTCCTCTAATAGATTGATTAAAAGATAGGGCCGTGCGGACGGGTAAACGTGTGGGGTGATGTCAGGCTGCTGTGGGGTCTTTCTGCCAGAGTTTGTTAGCGCGTGTGCTCAGTATGCACTGTATTGGTATCTGGACTAAAAGTTGTGTGTGATTAGAACCAGCAACATGGAGGAAATAAGAGGACTGACTCAATTTGGATGCTATCTACTGTATCAACTTTCTCCGTGGTTTGATTTCTTTGCAAATATACAGTCAGAAATGATATCCGAATATATTTCCAATTTCACTTGCAACTGGTTAATTTATTTAATAATATCAATTTATTTAAAAATGATTGAAATATGTGTTTATTTAAATATTTGGCATTTGTATTATTGATATGGGTAGTAGTTTTTTTAGTTTTTATGTATTTTTTTAATATTAAAATGATTTCTGAAGAATCAGATGATTCTATAATAATGGATGTGGAAAATTCAGCTTCTCGTTACAGAAAAAATAAAACATTGTAAAGTAATATTGTAGCTGTGATTATTGTGGATGGTTTGCTTTATATACCAAGTGTTCAGTCTTGAATTCTTGCATTTAATTTGTTGTTTGAATTATTCAGTTTAAGTGATAAAGTAAACAGCTGTTTTTATTTTACATTTATCTCACACCGTTTCTTTCTACCACTTGTTGTTGTTGTGTTAGATTTTATTAATGGATCTCAAGGAGTATTAGGGCTCTTGAGTGAAGGACTCATCCCTAGTTTATCTTAATAGTCTTGGTGAAGGCAGACGTGTCTGTGTGTGTGAAAGAGCGTATATGTGTCTGTTCTCATGCTGGTACATTTTCTCCTCATCTCCACTGGCAACCACAGCTCACAGTATGTGCCAACCACAAAATGAAGTGGACATCCATGAAGCATGCTGGTAGATCCTGTGTTAAAGACAAAAATAAATGCAGATAATGAACCCAGCATGCAAAGAATCACACTTTCCACTTGGAAATGGATGTGTCCTTATATTTTAACACCAGTCATATAATGCTATATTTTTGGATAATGTTATTACCATGGAGACAGAAAGTTAAATGTTATACTTTACCTACAGTAGTAGTGTATCCAAAATTTTGGTCCTTTTAATGAAATTTTAACCTGCATCTATGTTACATATTATAACCTCTGCAAGTGACATCAATTTAGCAGTCTGGCCACAGAGCTTCTGTGGTAACAATGCACAACCCAGTATGTCAGATGCATAGGGTACTTTGTATTACATTCTTCAAAGAAGACCTTGAGAATCGGCGTTATTATAGTTAACTAAGGGGGCATTTACATGACACCATTTTCAACTAAATACGGAAAGTGTTTTATGCAATTTGTCCATTTACACGACAACAGTATTTTGGGGGCCAGAGAACTTGGATTTTAACGATTCCGTTATTGTCCGTAAATTTGTGAAAATGGAGACATCATGCGCATTTGTATTACGTGTTAAGTTTATAGGTATGTGCACAGGCGCATAGTGTT